GGGGGGGGGGGGAGGGGGGGGGGGGGGAGGGGGGGGGGGGGGGGGGGGGGGGATACAAAAAAATTGTACTTCGATGTTTTAATGATTGACGAATGATGAAATATTTGTGTTTTAAAAGAAATAAAACCTTTGAAACAAGATAGTTAGAAAGCCAAAATAGCCAAAATAATAGAAGAGCATAGCTAAAGATCCTTTTCAGATGGATTCTACTACTATCATTACACCCAAAATACTGTGAATTCTAATGAATCTATTGGGGGTATTTAAGTAGGTAAAAGTATTAAAATGCATACTGTTGAATCCATATTTTTCAAATATGATAAATAAGATAACATATAGCCTATTGGGTTCTTTCAGGTATTCCTATAGCAGTGGTGGGTTGCAGGCGGTACGCCCCGGGTACCGTTCCGGTACGGTGCTCTGGAGGTCCCACATGCCCGCTCGAGCTCCTTACCTGTTTTTTAAGCCTTTGGCGCTTCTGTGCATGGCCCGTATGGCGCCTGCGCGATGATCCATGGAGCAGCTAGAGCGTCACGAAGGCTTGCAGAGGCATCGCAGGCAGGTATGGTGCATGCACACATGTGTGCGCATGCCGCGCGCGTCCATCTGGAACCCACCGCTGTTCTATATTTATTTCTTTATTTATTAAATATATTTATATGCCGCCCAATCCCAAAGGACTCCGTATAGGAACACTAAAGTAGCTGCATCCTCTTGCAAGTTGGCCAATGGTTTCTTTCACTCGCCCCCAGTCTCCACATGCATGTACATGCACAATTGTTTGGTTGGCATTTCCAGAATGAAAACCTCTATTACTGTTCCCTAGGTCTGCTCTAGATAGTAAAAAGGATCTGAATAACTGGCTTGGGGGAATACAGGAAAGTATAAAGAGAACAAAAGAAGGAAGAAACATTGTAGGAAATTATAACACTGCATGATATATGTGAATGTGGTTTATGCAGTGTACAACCAGGGGGAAACTTCTTGTACGGTGTGAGATTGATGCTTCCTCAAAAGGAAGTCCTTTCCTCCTGCAACACATCCTATACCTTCAAAGAAGTTTATTCAAGGAGACACAGTAGAAAAGAATCTATGGAGATTCTCAGTCACCCAGAGGTGCTTTTTCAAAAGGCAACTGAACTTTATTTTAAAACAAAGCCCAGTAGCCTTTTTTTGGGGCGGGGGGGAAGCACCTTTGGGACAGTGGAAAGTAAGCAGCATTCTCCAAATTGTGGATCGTGCCCGATTTAAATGTGCTGAACATCAGCTCGTCTGCAGACGATCTGGAACTGCAGCTGCTATAGAATGTTGCAATCTCAATCATGGGGCATGATTCAGAATCAGTGCGCTTAAAAAATGGAGCCCAGTGACGTTTAAAAGGTGAGATTCTACTCTTGTTGCACGCTGCTTGAGATGTAAACACAACCTCATTTTCTTTTTTTGCTAAAAGAAAGCAAAAAATGTGATGAAACTCTTAAGATTTCATACTACTAGGACACTTGAGACAGATGAATATGAAGATTCTATAAACCCTTTTTAATATTTCAGTACTTTTTAATACTCTAGTACCGTAGAGTAGTAACCTACACCATATATTACATCATTACGCAAATCCAGCAAAAACTAACTTTTTGACTCATATCCTACTTCCCTGTCAACAGCACAGAAACGCGCCCCCCCCCAAGGCTTTCATTTACCATATCTTAAAACTCTTTAACCTATTGCCAAAAGTATTCGCTCTCCTTCCTTTACTCACATATGAATTTACTGTAAATGATCTCCCATTCCTAATCCATGGGGTTCAATATGACGTCGGTCCACCCTTTGCAGCTATAACAGCTTCAACTCTTCTGGGAAGGCTGTCCACAAGGTTCAGGAGTGTCTTTCTGGGAATCTGTGGCCATTCGTCCAGAAGCGCATTTGTGAGGTCACACCCTGGTGTTGGACGGGTTTACGTGGCCTACCACTTCGTGGCTGAGCTGCTGTCCTTCCCAAACACTTCCACGTTCTTATAATACAGCTGACAGTTGACTGTGGTGTATTTAGGAGCGAGGAAATGTCACGACTGGATTTGTGGCACAGGTGGCATCCTGTCACACTTCCACGCTGGGATTCACTGAGCTCCTGAGAGCGACTCCTTCTTTCACCAATGTGTGCAAAAACAGTCTGCATGCCTAGGGACTTAATTTTATACCCCT